CAAGTGGAAAAAGTATTTCAAAGCACAGAGCACATAAGAGAAGATGGAAATAATCAGAAAAACACCAGGCTTCGATTCTAGACCCGATAGCTCTGACGCTGACTTGTTCTGGCTCCAGAAGAAGAAAAGGAGCAGATGGGGAAAGACAATAATTACAGGGTAGAAAATACCGTGCTGACCCAGAGAAAGACCCAGGCTTGCAGACCGGAGGGACCGGAGGGACCAGAGGGGCACAGGAGACAAAAGAAAGCAGAAACACGTAGACAGGAAATGCCTGGGTTCTGAGGTCACAGAAAAATCACTGTCCGGTTTCTAGACAGAACAAGTTACTGACAAAGGGAAATGGATCCGCTCGCAGAGAACATGGCAAGTGGGAAACTGAAAAGCAAGAGTACCCAGCCTCTCACACAGCGGAAAAGGCACCCACCTGTCAGGGCAAAAGAAAGGACCGCTTGAGTGACAGTTCAGTCCCTAGGATCCACATGGTAGGAGAGAGTGGACTCTGTAAGCTGTCCTCTGACTTACATACACGTGCACAAGCACCCGTGTGGGGCAGTTCACAACCATAGGTAACCTAAGCAGCTCCACATCTGTGTGCACACACATCTGCACCTCCACATCTGTGTGCACACACATCTGCACCTCCACATCTGTGTGCTCACACATGCACACCTCCACATCTGTGTGTACATACATCTGCACCTCCACATCTGTATGCTCACACATACACACCTCCACATCTGTGTGTGCACACATGCACACCTCCACATCTGTGTGTGCACACATACAGATACACACAGCTCTAGTTGTCTGGAACTCACTCTGTAGACCAGCTGGCCTCAAGCTGACAGAGATCCGCCTGCCTCTGCCTCCTGAGTGCTGGGATTAAAAGCATGCGCCACCACTGCCTGGCTTTTCCTTTATTGGATGTGGACAGTGGTGCTGGGATTGAACCCAGGGCCTAGTCCACGTCAGGTAAGCAATCTGCCATTGAACCATATTCCCAGGCTTTTAAAAAGTTACTTATTTACTGTGGTGCTCAGAGGACAGTTCAAGAGTTGGCTCTCTCCTGCCACTTCGTGGGACAGGGATTGGTCTCAGTAGTTAGCTCTGCATGCAATGCACGGCATGCTGGAAACTCTACCCCCAGAGCAGTCTCCCTGGCTGCTCCCCTCCCCCACCTCTTTTTAAAAATTTTTAGATATATTTATTTTGTGTGTGTGGTGTTTCTCTCTTTGGTGGTAGTATCTCTCTCTTTCTCACTCTTAACTCTCCTTAGGGTCCCATCCCAGTACAAACCATGCTCTCTAGCTGTGATGAAACATCATCACCAAAAGCAGCTTGGGGAGAAAAGGGCTCATTTGGCTTACACTTCCAGGTCACAGTCCGACACTGAGGGAAGTCGAGGCAGAAACTCAAGCAGGAAGTAAAGCAGAAGCCATTGAGAAGGGATCCTTTACTGGCTAGCTCATGTGGCTTTTGCTTAGCCTGATTTTGGTGTTTTTGTTTAGTTTTTAATTTTTTTTTTCAGACAGGGTCTCTGTAGCCCTGGCTGTCCTGTAATTCTCTACATAGACCAGGCTGGCCTTGAATTCAAAGAATCCAGTTTTCCTCTGCCTCCTGAGTGCTGGGACTAAAGGCATGAGCCACTGCACCTGACTTTAGCCTGCTTGTTTATAGCCCCCGTTCACCAAGCACAGTGGGCTGGCCCTCCACAGGCTTGCTGGCAGGCCAGTCTGGTGGGGGCATTTTCTCAGTTGAGGGTTCCTCTTCCCAAACGACTCTAGCTTGTGTCAAGTAACAAAAAAATAGCCAGTACATCTATGCTGGTTTAAAGGGGGGGGGGGGGGGCAGGTATTAAATAAGATGAATTTAAAAAAAGCAAGATTCAGATATATTCTGCATGTAAGAAATACATTTTTAGAGCCAGGTGGTGGCGCATGCCTTTAATCCCAGCACTCAGGAGGCAGAGCCAGGCAGATCTCTGGGTTCAAGGTCAGCCTGGTCTACAGAGTGAGTTCCAGGACAGCCAGGACTACACAGAGAAACCCTGTCTCAAAAAGCCAAACCAAACAAAACGGGAAGCCAAGCAGAGCCTTATGTTCCTATAATCTCGCAGTGGGAAGACTGAGGCAGGATTGAAAGCTCAAGATCCTGTCTCAAAAAGTTAAGTAAGGGCTGGCAAGACGGTGTGCACTCATCACCCAGTCTCCTGACTCTGCATGGACCGGCCTCAGCTCCTTCATCTTGACTTTCTCACCATCACGGACTGTGCCTTGTACTGTGGACCAGAGTAAACCCCCTCCCCCCCTTAAGTCTCTTTCATTAGAGGGTTTACCACAACAACAGGAAAGGAAACTAAGACAACATTTTCTTAACATTTTATTATATTATGTTTATTTTGACTTTTTTTGTTTGTTTTGGTTTGGTTTGGTTTTTTCGAGACAGGGTTTCTCTGTGTAGTTTTGGAGCCTATCCTGGAACTCGCTCTGTAGACCAGGCTGGCCTTGAACTCACAGAGATCCAACTACCTCTACCTCCCGAGTGCTGGGATTAAAGGCTTGGGCCACCACCGCTTGGCTATTTTGACTATTTTTAAAAATAATTTAATTTCTTTTATGTGCATTGGTGTTTTGCCTGCATGTATGTCTGTGTAAGGGTGTTGGGTCCCCTGGAACTAGAGTTACAGACAGTTGTGAGCTGCCATGTGGGTGCTGGGAATTGAACCCTGGTCCTTTGGAAGAGCAGTCAGTGCTCTTAACTGCTGAGCCATCTCTCCAGCCCCCTTGACTATTCTTTTTTAGAAAATGTATATTGTATGTGTGTATATGTATGGGGGGGCAAATGCATGCATGACCAGGGTGTATCTGTGTAGGTCAGAGGGCAACCTGTGAGACCCTATTTGCTCTTTCCACCACGTGATTTCCTCGGGATTGAACTCGGGATATCATATTTACCAGGTAAGCCATCTTGGCAACCCAAAAATGTATTCTTAATTATTTATCTATTACCTGTCTGTCTATCTATCTATCTATCTATCTATCTATCTATCTATCTATCTATCTATCTATCCATCTATTTATTTTGCATTTTTCAAGACAGGGCTTCTCTGTGGGTAGTCCTGGAACTCACTCTGTAGACCAGGCTAGCTTTGAACTCAGAGATCTGCCTGTCTCTGCCTACAGAGTGCTGGGAGGCAGAACCAGGTGGATCTCTGTGAGTTCGAGGCCAGCCTGGTCTACAGAGCGAGATCCAGGACAGGCACCAAAACTACACAGAGATACCCTGTCTGGGGAAAAAACAAAACAAAACAAAACAAAAAGAGCACTGTACAGTCTTAGCTACTGAACACCCTCCAGTCCTCATTTTATTTTATTTCTATGTGTATGGGTGTTTTACCTGCATGTGTGTCTGTACACCATGTGTGCACCTTTTTTTTATTTTTAATCAAGTGCTTGTATGTGTGAGTGTGGGTTTGTACACTGGAGTGCATTGCCTGCAGAGGCCAGAAGAGGGTATAAGACTGCTTAGAGCTGCAGTTATAGGAGATTTCGAACCTCTGGATATGGGAGCTGGGGTCAGATCCTCCTCAAGAGCAGTACAAACTTCTAACCTGTGACAGATCTCTCCAACCCCTCCCTCCCTGAACAATGTTTTAACTTTTTTTTTTCTCTAAAAAATGTCCTTTGGGAAGTGTGACAGAGAGATACGCACTCAATTGCGTGTGTGTGTGTGTGTGTGTGTGTGTGTGTGTGTGTGTGTGTGTGTGTGTATGTGTGTGTGTATGTGTGTATATGTGTGTGTATGTGTATGTGTGTATGTGTGTGTATGTGTATGTGTGTATATGTATGTGTGTGTATGTGTATGTGTGTGTGTATGTGTATGTGTGTGTGTGTGTGTGTGTGTGTGTGTAAAAGGCACACGAGGCTGTTGGTCACATAGTTGTTTCTAAGGTTCTTTGTTCACAAAGTCCATTTTCCCCAGGTGTGATGGCACACACCTTTGATCCCAGCACTTGAAAGACAGAGACAGGTGGGTCCCTGTGAGTCTGCAGCAAACCTGGTCAACAGAGCAAGGATATATTTACCTTTCCTAGAATTTGACAATTAACCTAAAATTTTTCTTTCAGAGCTGGGGTCAGATCCTCCTCAAGAGCAGTACAAACTTCTAACCTGTGACAGATCTCTCCAACCCCTCCCTCCCTGAACAATGTTTTAACTTTTTTTTTTTTCTCTAAAAAATGTCCTTTGGGGGCTGGAGAGATGGCTCCGAGGTTAAGAGCACCAACTGCTCTTCCAGAGGTCCTGAGTTCAATTTCCAGCACCCACATGGTGGCTCACAACCATCTGTAATGAGATCTGGCGCCCTCTTCTGTGTACATAATAAATAAATAAACCTTTAAAAAAAAAAAAAAAAAAAATGTCCTTTGGGAAGTGTGACAGAGAGATACGCACTCAATTGCGTGTGTGTATGTGTGTGTATGTGTATGTGTATGTGTGTGTATGTGTGTATATGTGTGTGTGTATGTGTGTGTATGTGTATGTGTATGTGTGTGTATGTGTGTATATGTGTGTGTATGTGTGTGTGTATGTGTATGTGTGTGTATGTGTGTGTGTATGTGTATGTGTGTATATGTATGTGTGTGTATGTGTGTGTGTGTATGTGTGTGTAAAAGGCACACGAGGCTGTTGGTCACATAGTTGTTTCTAAGGTTCTTTGTTCACAAAGTCCATTTTCCCCAGGTGTGATGGCATACACCTTTGATCCCAGCACTTGAAAGACAGAGACAGGTGGGTCCCTGTGAGTCTGCAGCCAACCTGGTCAACAGAGCAAGTTTCAAGCCAGTCCTAGATCTAAATAGTAAGACCCTGCCTAAAAACAAAGTGGAATAATACAAAAACCCCACAAAACCAAAAGTCACACACACACAAAACAAACAAACAAACAAACAAACAAACAAAAAACACCCACAAATTTAACAAATGATGGAGATGAATGAATGAAAAGGGAGACAAAGATTTTATTGTTGCATGGGAGGAGAAGGAGAACCAGGCAGTTCTCAGACTTTGGTGGCCTTCGTTCCTCTGGGTCTCCTCACATCTGGAGAGCCCTGGGTAAGAAGGTCTCCTGTGCCCAGTCCACAGAGAGCGGTGCTCGAGTCACCCCATGCTGAGTCCGTGGTCAGCTGCCTGCAGAGGTGTGTACCTGAGTCCCTCTAGCCCCTGGCAGGTCCTGTGTGTAGTAAGTCCCTGACTCCAAATGGGGTAGGGAGTGCCGTGAGGAGGAGCCCTGGCCCTGGGCTTTGCAGATAGAGAAGAATCAACCGTTATCCGGGCAGTATGGTGCCTTGACTTCTAGGGATGGCAGGACCAAGATCGAGGTGTCACCAGCCCCCAGAATGTTGTCTGTGCGGCGGAAGAATAGATTGTGAGTGAGGTCACTTCTGATGACACACATTATGAATCTAAAACGTGAGTCCCCCTCCCCCACACATGCCGTCTCTGACTGTAGCTATTGAATCAGAGCCCAAAAGGGCTGGCTGCTGGATGCCATGCTGGATGAGGAACTGGGAGAGGTCATTGCCTTACCTGGGGCAAGGGACAGTGTCGCCGAGCATACCACTCCTGGCAGTATAGGCTGACCTGGATGCCCTGGCCCAGGAAGAGCAAGGTCCACATCAGGATGTTCCAGGCTGGACCTGTGTGCCTGTCGTTCATGGTGAAGTTCAGCAGCCCTAGGGCAGGAGACGGGTTGTCATTCCAGCTCATCATCCCTGTGCCTTGTCTCCTTTGCTAGGGGCTGGGAAGTGACCTACCAGAAAGGAAATGCTCCCTCCCCAGACAAGACCTTAGACCTAGCTGTAGACACTCTTGAAGGTCTCAAGGGACTGGGGGAAGCTCAGTTTGCCCCTCACTTCCTGAATCTTATGCCGTATCTCCTAGCCACACCAAAGTCTTCCCACCCTTCTACATCCTTTGATCAAATGCTTCTCTGTAACCAGAAACCTTTCCCCCAAGTCCCTCAGGATATGCCTATTGCTTCCCCAAGGCCTCCCAGACCCAGCAGACTCGAATCTCAGGGGCAGCCAGGCCTCCTCCAGCCACCCCTCTCTGGGTCAGAGGTTAAGCTCACCCCCGACCACGAGGAAGAGCATCAGCATAACCGGGTAGAAGAACCCCAGGACGAAGCAGAAGATGTATTCATGCACAACTGCAGACACCAGGAACACTCCCAGCATGGCCGCCCCACGGGCCCGCCTGCCCAAGAGCTGGTGAGCAGGAAAGAGAATGAGCACGTCCCCCACAGCACCTTCACAGAGAGTCCCTCCCTCTTCAGGAAGCCAGGAAGGAGTGGGATTCAAGGGAAAGAATGTGGGATTTGGGGTCAGAAGGGGTCACACCAGTCTTGTTTAAGAGCATTGGACCTTAGCTGTGATTCTATTTTATTTTGTTTTGTTTTGTATTTTGACAGTATTGGAGATAAGGGCCTTTTGCGTGCTAGGAAGGTGTTCTACTATTAAGATATGTCCCCAGCCTTATTATTATTATTATTACTATTTATTATTATTATTATTATTTTTTGAGACAGGGTCTCTCTTTGTAGTCCTGGCTGTCTTGGAGCTCATAGGTATCCACCTGCCTCTGTCTCCCGAGTGCTGGGATTAAGGCGTGTGCCATCATACTTGGCCACCAACCTTATTTTGTGTGTGTGCATGTTTATGTTTTGTGTACGAGTGCACACGTGCGTGAGTGTGCAGGCCAGAGGACACTGTTGTTACTTAGGTGCCTTTTGTTGTTTTTTTGAGACAGGGTCTCATGCATCTGAAACTCACTAAGGAAGCCAGCAAGCCCCAGAAGTCTATCTGTCCTTTGATGATCTGAACAACATTAGTGGAGCAGAGTAAAAGGAGGGGAGGGCACCCGAGGAAGCCACCTTGCTGGGACCATGAGAACTGAGGAGTGTGCACGGCTCGTACCCACAGCCCATCTTGATACACGTAACTATACAGCCAGTCATGGACCACCACGTTCCAGGTGCGGTAGTAGTTGGAGAAGGAAGTAGAGTTCCACCAGTCCTGGGGAGGGTGTGGATTGGGAGGAATGAAGGTGAGATCTCAGGCCCCAGCTACCGCTGCTGCTCCGCACACCCACCCCTACCTGTATCCTCTTAGAAGGGCTGGCTCTAGGTGGAGCAGAGACAGCAACACTCTCCCAGGCTTGGGTCCCACCCCCTTGCCTACCCACTCAAGAGGAGTCAGTCTTCCTGCTTAAAGGTGTGGGAGTGGCATCATCCCCACACCCCGAGGCCCACAGTCCTCATTACAGGAGACCCAAAGCACTGGGAGGCGACACCCACCACCGCTACCCTCTTCCCTGGGCCCTTGGTCAATCTCCCCGACTACTGCTCTCAGTGGGCCCCGGTCCAGGCCGCACCCGGTAGAACATCCTGTCTCCAAACCGCAGCATCTCGGCGAAGGCGTTGAGCCAGCAATGCAGGAAGGCGAAGAAGATGAGGAGCAGCATGAAGATGCCTGGCGGGCAGGACAAGAGGTGCAGCCCCGCAGCCCCGGGCTCTCTAGAGCCTTTGCCCAGCCATCAGGGCCCCAACACTTAGCAAGCATGCGTTCACTCATCATTCATGCATTCCTTAATTTTCCACATAGTGCTTGGTATCTACTCTATGCCTGAAAATCAGAAACACAGACTCACAACATCCCTGACCTTTGGAAATTCATAATATTGAGACACACACACAGAGGCTGGGACCCACGCGAGGATCAAGGTCAGGTGTAACGGGAACTAAATGATCGTGACAACCAGGGATGTTCCAGAGGATACAACGCAGAACAAGGAGTGAGCTGAAAAGAGTTCGGCTGTGAGGTGGCGCACGTCTAGTCCCAACTACTGGAGATGCTGAGACAGGAGATCACATGAGCTAAGGGACTACGGGTAGCCTGAGCAACATAGCAAGGCCCTATCTCAAAAAAAAAAAAAAAAGAAAGAAAGAAAAAAGAAAAAAGTATATGCAATAAAATAAAAATTAGATTCCAGCACTCGGGAGGTAGAGGCAGGCGGATCTCTGTGAGTTCCAGGCCAGCCTGGTCTACAGAGCTAATCCAGGACAGGCTCCAAAGCTACAGAGAAACCCTGTCTCGAAAAACCAAATAAATAAATAAATAAGTAAATAAATAAAATTAGAAAAGGAAAAGGGGGAGAGAGAAGCTTCCCAGAGAGGGGAGCGTCTTACCCATGGGCCTCCAGAAAGGAACCCGATTCCATGGCTGTAGAGTAGAGAAAGGCATTCCAAGCAAAGCCTAGTACAGCAAGCCTGCAATCCTAGCTACTTGGGATAATGAGGCAGGAGGACTGAGTTTAAGGCCAGCCTGGGTAGAGGTTGTCTCAAAAACAAGCAAACATAAACATTTTAAAAAAAAAAAGAAAGAAAGAAAGAAAGGAAAAGAGAAAATCAAAAGGCTGTAAAGCTGGCTCAGCGGTTAAGAGCACTGGCTACTTCTCCAGAGGACCCAGGTTCAATTCCCAGCCTCCACACAACAGCTTACAACTGTCTTTATCTCTAGTCTCAGGGGATCTGATGTCCTTTTCTGGCCTCTGTACCAGGCATGCATGTGGTGCACAAACATTCAGGCAGACACAATATCCATACACATTAAAAAAAACAAAAACAAAACTGAGCTCAAGTCCTGCCTGAGCAACTTAGTGAGACCCTGTCTCAAAGTAAGAATTGAAAGGAGGATAGAGGGGGCCTGGAGAGATGACTCAGAGGTTAAGAGCACTGATTGTTCTTCCAGAGGTCCTGAGTTCAATTCCCAGCACCCACATGGTGGCTCACAACCACCTGTAATGAGATCTGGTGGCCTCTTCTGGCCTGCAGGGATATGTGCAGACAGAACACTGTATATATAATAAATAAATAAATCTTAAAAAAAAAAGAAAGAAAGAAAGGAGGACAGGGATGTAGCTCAATAGTAAAGCTTTTGTCTGGCGTGTATGAGGCCTTAGGTTCACTCTGGTGTAGAAGGAAGGGAGGGGAGGAAGACAGGCAAGCAGGAAGGCAGGAGGGCTTTTGAAGCAGGGCCATGGGTGATTAATTTGCAGGAGGGACTGGCTAGCAAAGCCAGGCCCACGGGGGAGAGGGAAGTGAGCAGTGGGGAGCTAGGCTACCAGGCCACATGAAGATGGTGGCAGTGAACATGGGCAGGAGGGGGCAGGTATGTAAGGGATTCACACACAGACAGAGTGAAGCCTGCCCTGACAAGCATTCCCCAGGAAAGTGCACAACCTTTCCCCACCGTGACGAAGGTCTTACCTGGGCCTGTGGCGTGCAGGACTGAGCGCAGCAGGGCACGGGTGCTGAAGGGTTCCCGGCTCATGTTGGCAAAGACGGGGACACAGAGGCGGCCCAGGATGAAGCAGGCGTAGAGCACGCAGGCCAGGGCCTGCAGACAGGAGGGCACGCGGCTTTGGCAAGGGGTACTGCCTCCTTCCCGGCCCCCCTACTTCTAAGCCACCATGAGTCCGAGCTGGTCTTCTACCCCATCTTCTGACCTGGGCAAAGTTCTTGGCCACATAGTTCCACCTGATGCTGGGTGTCCTGCAGCACGATAAGAGAACATGAGGATCATCCTTCTACGTCCTTCACGGTTTAGGCCTTCAGTCCTCTCTCCGAGGCTAACTCCATTGCACAGGCCTGAGTGAATTCCCTAGGGCTGTGGGGGGGTCTAGAACACTTCGGATTTCCCAGAGCAAACACAGTAAGTGGTCATTTAGTTTGAGTGTCACTGAAGGTGCCCAACCATACTCTGTTTCTGGGGTGTGGAGGACAGAACTGGGTTGATGGCTCGGGACAGTGGATCACGGGCATGTGCGGGGCAACGGAAGAGGTAGCCTGTTTTTCCCTTTGCTTCCTTCTGAACAAGTGGCCAGTGCCTGTGGGAGAAGGGCCCCATCCTCACTAAGCCTAGGTATTTGGAGAGGGGCAGCAAGGTCTTACCTGGGGTATGTCTCTCTGTAGATGAGGGTAGGGCAGAAGAGGAAGTAGAGGTAGCTGGAGAAACTAGGTGCACTGATACCCTTACCTGGACAGGAATGAAAAGACTGTTAACACAGGGGGGTGGAGAGGACTGTGTTAGCATGGGGAGGTGGAGAGGAGACTGTGTTAGCATGGGGAGGTGGGGAGGACTGTGTTAGCATGGGGAGGTGGGGAGGACTGTGTTAGCATGGGGAGGTGGAGAGGACTGTGTTAACATGGGGAGGTGGGGAGGACTGTGTTAGCATGGGGAGGTGGAGAGGACTGTGTTAGCATGGGGAGGTGGAGAGGACTGTGTTAGCATGGGGAGGTGGAGAGGACTGTGTTAGCATGGGGAGGTGGAGAGGACTGTGTTAGCATGGGGAGGTGGAGAGGACTGTGTTAGCATGGGGAGGTGGGGAGGACTGTGTTAGCATGGGGAGGTGGGGAGGACTGTGTTAGCATGGGGAGGTGGAGAGGACTGTGTTAGCATGGGGAGGTGGGGAGGACTGTGTTAGCATGGGGAGGTGGGGAGGACTGTGTTAGCACGGGGAGGTGGGGAGGACTGTGTTAGCACGGGGAGGTGGAGAGGACTGTGTTAGCACGGGGAGGTGGGGAGGACTGTGTTAACATGGGGAGGTGGGGAGGACTGTGTTAGCATGGGGAGGTGGGGAGGACTGTGTTAGCATGGGGAGGTGGAGAGGACTGTGTTAGCATGGGGAGGTGGGGAGGACTGTGTTAACATGGGGAGGTAGACTGGGGAGGGATCCAGGCTGTGCATTTGAAGGGACTGAGCTCGCTCACACTGCAGACCGGCTTTCCAGACCTGCTGTGGCCAGAGCTTCCTTAGGCTGCCACAGCCCATTCTCTTTCCCTTCTAGTCTGATTTCCTCTATGAAGGTTTTCTCACATCCCTGCCTTTCCAGATTGGGCCTGGGAACTAGAAAGCACCAGAAGGTCTGGATAACTGGGTGGTTCTCTCAGAAGAGGCCTGAGCACGCTCGTGAATAAAGCCACTTAGTCCAGCTGAGGGTCAGATCTGTGTCCGCTGGGCAACCCGCTTGCAAAGGCAGAGCTTTGCATCTTCTGGCTTCATCCAAGCAGCCAAGAGGATCCAGGAGTTCATAATGGGTCAGCGGGACACCTCACCTCTGACACAAAGGATCCCAGGTACAGTCTCTCTCAAGAAGGAGTAGCTTTTCATCAGGAACCGGACCTGTAGTGGAAGAGATCAAATTGCTGTGTGGCTCTGAGAAAATCGCTTTACCTCTCTGTACTCAGATTTATCACAGAGAGGCAAGCCAATTCAAGACATGCCTGGCAGGAGCCCATATTTATTTATTTATTTATTTATTTATTTATTTATTTATTTATTTATTTATTTATTTCTCTCTTTCTTCCTTCCCTCTTCTTCCTCCTCCTCTTCTTCCTTCTCCCCCCCCCCCCAGCCCGCCTTTCCTTTTTCAGTTTTTATTGAGATAGGGTTTCTCTGTGTAGCCCTGGCTGTCCTAGAACTCACTCTGTAGACAAGCAAGGCTGGCCTCGAACTCACAGAGATCTGCCTGCCTCTGCCTCCCGAGTGCTGGGATTAAAGACATGTGCCACCACGGCCCGGCTAACATTTTCTGTTTTTTGTCATGTGACTTTATAGCTTTACACAGACATCTTTACCCTGGGATGAAGGGTAAAGAGAGACAGGGCAATCTTCATCCCACCAACTCTCTGCAGGGCCAGTGTTACCTAGCAACCCAATCTGTGTACTTTTCTCAGAATCACAGGTTCACCAAACCCAAGGCTATATTGACCTGGTCTTGGAGCCCCCAGGTCCTCACCTGCTCAAAGACCAGCACGCATCTTGAGGCGGGCGGAAGCTGATGCTTCACCGCTATGTGGACTGGGAGGACGCAGAGCATCGCTGCATGACCAGCCAGCAGAACACAGCCCAGGCCAGCCCCCAGCATCCAGGTGCCCCCGGCTCTCGGCCTGGCCCAGAGCCATAGGGTCTGGTAGGGCACTAGCAGAGTGGACAGGAACATGGGAACCCACGTCATCAGCGCCAAGGGCAGCTGTCCGAAGCTGAAGATGAGTAGGTCAAACTCCAGCATCAGCCTAGGGGAGAGGAAAAAAGACAGTAACTGGACACACTGAGGGGTTTGTGGTGTGGATATTATTTTAACTGGGCAAAGATATGTTATGTTATTTCTGCTGCATTTGTTCAACGATGTAAGGATGTGTTACATTTGTTTCTGCTGTATTTGTTTAATTATTAAAAGATGTGTTGCATCTGTTTCTCCTCGACTGCCTAAGGCAACTGATTGGTCTGATAAAGAACTGAGTGGCCAGTAGCTAGGCAGAAGAAAGGGTAGGCAGGGCTGGGCAGAGAGAATAAATAGGAGAAATCTAGGCTAGAGAGAAGAAAGGAGAGAGAGAGAGAGAGAGAGAGAGAGAGAGAGAGAGAGAGAGAGAGAGGGAGGAGAAGAGAATGGGGCAAGAAGCCAGGCAGACGCCAGCCAGCAGACACAAGAAGCAGTGAAAGTAAAGACAGACAGAAGTAAGAAAGGTAACAAGCCCAAGACAACAGGTAGATAAACGGATTAATTCAAGTTAAAAGAGCTAGCCAGAAATGTGCCTAAGCTAGGCCGAGCATTCAAAACTAGTAATAAGTTTCTGTGTCATGATTTGGGAGCAGGTCGGTGGCCCAAATGAAAAAGCCTAGTACAGACTTGCTTTTGCTTTTTTTTCTAGAGAGGTCTCACGTATCCCAGGCTGGCCAGGAGCTCACTTGTGTAGCTAAGGATGACCTCAAATGCCTAATCTTTTTGCTGCATAAGTCACCATACTCAATTCATGCAGGGCTGGGCCAGACCCTTGAAAGGCTGTGTTGTGAAAGTGTTCAAGTTCTCCCCAGTGTTGTGTGGGACTTCCAGAGCAGGCCCTCGCCTCAGACACAGTCATGGGATAGGCTTGATCTGAATGACCTTTGGAGCCCTAGTTCAATGTCAGTTTTGCAGAAGCCTCAGTACTGCAAGCATCAGGGTGTGAAGAGTTGAGATGAGCTCTGATTTTACTATTATGAATTTCGTTCCTCAGTGTGTCTATACTTGTAGGCCCAGGCTAGTAGAATGCACCATGCTCAGCGATTTGCCTGGGTGGAGTGTGTTGGCACTTGCTTGAATTCTCAGCTGCCTCAAAGGCTGAAGCAGAAGGATGGAAAGTCCTAGACTACCTAGGACATAAGAAGGCCTCGTCTCGCCGGGCGGTGGTGGCGCACGCCTTTAATCCCAGCACTCGGGAGGCAGAGCCAGGCGGATCTCTGTGAGTTCGAGGCCAGCCTGGACTACCAAGTGAGTCCCAGGAAAGGCGCAAAGCTACACAGAGAAACCCTGTCTCGAAAAAAAAAAAAAAAAAAAAAAAAAAAAACAACAACAACAACAAAAAAAAGGCCTCGTCTCAAAACAAAAACAAGAACAACAAAAAAACAGCTTTTTATGAGAATGTATTGTTTGGGACTGGAGAGAGGGCTCAGTGGTTAAGAGCACCGACTGCTCTTCCAGACTCAATTCCCAGAGCCCACGCGGTGGCTCACAACCATCTGTAACTCCAGTTCCGGGAGATGCGATGTACGCCCTCTTCTGACCTCTTTGGGCACCAGACGCAAGTGGTGCACAGACATTCAGGCAAAACACCCACACACACACAATTAAATTTTAAAATTAAAATTAAAAAACAATGTGTGGCTTATAAAGGTGAAAAATTGCAAATAAGGGGCTAGGGATGTAGACTGGTTGGTAAAGTGCTTGCCTAGGATGGATGGAGCTCTAGGTTCAGTCCCCAGCATGGCATAAACCAGGTACTGTATGCCTGAAAACTCAGTACTTGAGAGGTGGAGACAGAGGAAGAGAAGTCCAAAGTCATCCTTATCTATCAACTTCAAGTCCAGCCTGGGCTATGAGATCCTGTCTCCAACAAATAGACGAACACTGGAAACCACCTCAGTAGCTGTTAATAAAGGACTGCATGAACAAAATCTGATACTTCCACTTTCTGTAGTCAGGAAAACCAATAGGTTGATGTAGACAGATGATAAGAATTGGTTGTAAAATCACAGATACAGTATCTTGCTTCTGAACACCTCCACGTGAATCTCATTGGTGCTTATGGACGTATGAATGTGAATGCACAGAAAACACTCTGTGGCAAACTCAAACTATTAAACAAAGAAATCCAGGCCTGCAGGTCTGTGGTGGTGCACACCTTTAATCCCAGCACTTGGGAGGTAGAGGCAGGCAGATCTCTGTGAGTTCCAGGCCAGCCTGGTCTACAGAGTGAGTGCTAAGACAGCCAGGGCTACACATAGAAACCCTGTCTTAAAACAAAACAAAACAAAACAAAAACAGACCTGGTGGCTCTCACCTATAGCCTTAGTTACTTGGCAGAAGGCAGAGACAGAAGAATCAAAAGTTCTAGGCCAACCTAGGCTGGGGTGTGTAGCTCAGTGGTGCAGTGTTTACCTACCACGGTGATCTTCCAGGTTTAATCCTCAGTGCACAGAAAAGTTAAGACCTGTTAGTTCTGGGGAGCAGACTGGGATTGATGAAGGTGGCCAAGGACTGTATATTTGTGGTAAAATGTATATTTAAACTTTAGAGGTGATGTTGGAGGTAGAACCCTGGGCCTCGTATTTGATAGTCAAGTGGTCTAATACTGAACAATATCTTCAGCCTGAGAAGGGTGTGGTGGAGCTTGCCTTTGATCCCAGTACTCAGAAGACAGAGGCAGGCAGGTCTCTGAGTTCCAGGCCAGCCTGGTCTCCAGAGCCAGTTCCAGGACAGCCAGAGCCACACAGAGAAACCCTGTCTCAAACAACAAAAAAACAAACAAAATACCTTCAGCCTGATTTGACATTTTACTGAGATTTGATCCCTATAATAATACTCTTATTCTTTTATTTTTGTTTGTTTGTTTGAGATAGCCTCTGATTATGTAGCCCTGGCTGGCCTGGAACTTTCGACATAGACCAAGCTGGCCTGGAACTCATAGAGATCCACCTACCTCAACCTCCTGACTGCTTGGATTAAAGGTGTGCACTACTCTTACATTTAATAATAGACATTTTACTAGAGTAAGGGCTTGTAGCTGAACCTGTAGGTCCTTCATCCTCTCCTTTTTACGACTCCTTAAGCCTGTCTTTGGGATAGGTTGGGAACACCAAAATACAGACCTCCAAGGGAAGGTCTTCCTCTGAGGTCTGTGTCTGTCAATCCTCTCCGAGAGATGGGAGGTAGTTCAAAGGTGGGGGTGGACTTCACCCTCATCTATCTGGACCTGGCTTGTACTTGGTAGAAAGTCAATGGAAGTTACCTGAATTGAGTAGTTGAGAGCGTGTGTGTGTGTGTGTGTGTGTGTGTGTGTGTGTGTGTGTGTGTGCACGTGCATATGTGCATGCACTTACATCTGTTTTAAGGCAAGATTACCATGGAGAAGCATTTGAGAGGGCGTAGGCCATTCCAGGCTAGGGAAAGAAGATTCAAGACAGGTATGGGAGGTAAGGCGGGCATCTGGTCAGGTCACTGTGTCTGTGGGAGGGACCTACCTGCCCTCATCAATGAAGTCAATGGCCAGGGTACTGATGATCAAGACACATAAACCCGCGATGAACATGTGGTAGATGGTTCGGAAATGCTGCACCTCCATCAGCTCACTGGAAGGAAGGAGTCCGAGGGTCAGGGTGGAAGGGTCTTTAGCAGCCTGTAGGGGAGCTCAGGACTGTACACGTGAGGGGTGTGGGGCCCCCCGGAATCCAGAACTCCCTGCTGAGGGCAAGCCTGTGGCTGGGGCATCTCCTCCTGCTGATTTGTCCCCCTCGATAACACCGAGGCAGAGACCTCTCCAGACCCTCCCAGCAGACCACCGAAGCCCGTGCATGAGAACTGTGATGTCTGTGGGACCCCTAGTCAAACCTTTTCTTGTCCTTTGTCCTCCCCGCCACTTACTCGAGCAGTGACTTTCGGGTGATGAAAACTTTCCGTTTCGCATGGGGTAATTCCCGGGTCCTAGATTGAGACAGTTTTCAGACCCAGACCCCAAAGGAAGAGGGTGGAGGGCAGTGCCATGTGGATGGTAATAGGAGCAGGAGTGGTTTCAGGAGAAGGTCAGGGTTGGGGCAGAGCAAGACCTGAAAGATGGAAGCCAGGGCCATGAAGACCGGGTAATCGGGGGAGCCAGGGAACGCTGAAGCCAGGGTCAGGCCAAGGCTGGCCAAGGGGCGGGCATACGGCTGGAAGGGCACCTGTGCGGGACCCTCAGACTCACTTGCTTGTGGTATCTGGGGCAGTGGAGGGTACTGGTCTGTCTTGGGGGTAAGCTTGCACAGCCTCCCACATGGCCTGATCCAGCAGCTCCGCCAGCTGTCTCTGGGCTTGCTCCAGAACCTGGGTCTTCACAGCCTGCAGGACAGAGCCCGGCTAGAGCCCGTTGTTCCCCGTGCCAGCCATTCCTCCCTTGACCTGTATTTACTGAGCTGCTCTGAACCACGCGGTGCTGAGTACTAGGAACAGGAAGAGGTAGGCATGACCCCAGAGCTTCCCCAACCTCTGCCTATCTTCTTGGCGCATCAGTGAGGACAAAGAGCCTTAGCAGAGGCTGAATATGGTAGCATACACCTGTAATCCCTGCTGCTTGGGGAGGCAGGAGGGTGATGAGTTTTTGTCCAGTTTGAGGGAGTGACTCATCTCAAAGCAAAAAAAAAAAAAAAAAAGAATGGCGGTAGGTGTGAGGCTGCCACTCACTGAGTCAGAATTTGAGACAGATCACCTCCAGTCCTCACTCCCTAACCTCTGAACTGTAGCCACACTAACAGTAAGACCTCACCGGCGGACTCTTGGTCCTTGCCCAAAGACCTATGTTTTAAACAACTCTGTCTTAGCCCAATTATTTTTTCTCTCTTTGTGTTTTGTTTTCTGTGTAGCCCTGTCTGTCCTGGAACTCACTCCATAGACCAGGTTGGCCTTGAACTCAAGAGTTCTGCCTGCCTCCACCTGCTGAATATTGGGATTAAAGGCGTGTGCTACCACCACCTTGCTAGCCTGATTCTTTTTAATTTATAAGAGGTAAACAAACCTAATAGATTATTTATTTTAAATTCGGGTGGGTGGGATCTAGGTTGGCATTGTCTGAACAATGTTACCAGACAATTTAACTGAGGTTTTAAAATATTTATGACAAAAACTGGGGCTGGTGAGATGGCCCAGAAGGTAAAAGCATTTAAAGCATTTATTATGCAAGCCTTGTGACTTGATTCTGATCCCGAACCCACAGTGGAGAGAAATGACTTATGAAAATCTCTCTCTCTCTCTCACACACACACACCACCACCACCACCACTACCACCACCACCAATTTTAAAAGAGAGGTCTTATCTCTGATTATTACTAGAGATTAATGAAAAAAAAAAAAAGCTAAGCAGTAACTGGTGATTTAGGCTTCAACGCTGCCCTCCAGTTAACCTTAATTCTAACTGTGAGTTTGAAAACTTTTTTTTTCTTTTGAGACAGCGTTTCTCTGTGCAGCCCTGGCTGTCTGTGAACTTGTTCTGTAGACCAGGGTAGTCTCTAACTCTAACTCAGAGATCCACCTGCCTCTGCCTCACAAGTGCTGGGATCAAAGGCATGCACCACCACACCCAGTCTCAGGTAGCCCAGGCTGGTTTGGAAGTGTAGTCAAGGATGACCCCAAACTTCTGATCCTCCTGTCTCTACTTCCCAAGAGCTGGGATTATAGTTGTATGCTGTCACATCAGGTTTGTGGTGCTAGGACCAATCCCAGTCTTCATTATGATAGGTTAGCGCTCTACCAGCTGAGCTCCAACCCCAGCCCGGACCGTCCTCTGTGACCCCTCACCTCCACATGTCGGGTCCATTGCACCAAGTCTGGGGTTCTGTGCGTCTTGATGTTTCCTAGGAGGAAGAACCGAAAGGGACACCCGAGAGGGAGGAATTAGGGCTCTAGTCAGAGCTGACCTTGACCTGGAAAATGTGCTGTGTGCTCACCAGCCTCTGTTCTTAGTCAATATTTAGAATCGTGAGTAGAGTCATTAAAAGGGAGAGTGATATGTGCAGTGAATGAGGCCATTGGCAAGAAAGAGCCTGAATCAGTTGCTGGAAACAGGGGACCCAGAACACAGGGGAGTACTCCATTCACCCTCAGTGAGGGCAAGGCCACGCTCTGAACATCTCTTTCCTCCATTGCCAGTCCTAGTAGTATGGGGGATAGTGCAGAAACCGCCTTCTCTGGCTTCCCGGGATAGCAAGGGGCTCTCAGCAGCACACCCAACTCTGCTAAGCAGGACACACCCACCTCAGGCCGGCGGGGGAGGGGCGGAGGGGGCTCACCTTCCCCAGAGACTCCCTTCTGCTGCTCCTCCCCCACCCCTTCTCTTCGCCGCAGTTGGGACCCCTTCGGCTCCATGGTGGCAGTCTGGAGTGTGCGGCGGGCGGCGGGCGTCTTCTTTCTTCCCTTCTCAGCCCACCTACGGAGCTCTTATCCCACTCGGAGAGCTGACAGCTCCAGAGGCTAAAGTCCTCTCTGGAGGGGGCTGGGGGTTATAGGTTATCGGAAGGCAGCGCTTCTCAGATCCTGGCTCTCTCTGTCTGCTGCGTGTCACAGCCTCTCTGCCCCCAACCAACGGCCAGGTTCATGCTTGCTGTCTCACTTTCAGGGGTGAATCTGTGCCTAAGACTGGGTGGCAGGGGGACTTTGCCTCCCTGAGGCTTATCACGTAGCAGGGCAACTCCTGGCTCTCTCCATGAAAGCTGAAGGTCAGGGAGGGGCCAGAAACATCTTCATGCACCTGTATTCAGCTTTCTGAGGGTACACATCGAGTCCTGTAGTTACATGTGTGCAACGGTATTTTTGTTGGGGGCTGCATTTGTAACCTGTGTGGCGCTGAGGTCCCTCAAGGCCCCTGAATGTCAGCTCTTCTGTACACCTTGAGTTCCCATGTAAGCAGAAAGGTCAGACGCACACTTATTCAACACTAAGTGGTGCCGGGGTAGCCATGCCTACCTATGTAACTGCAGGAAAGTGGCCCAAATTTTTAAAGTTTCTGGGTGGGGAGAATGGGGCAAAAAGTCCCTACCTCATCAGGTGAGTGCCAGCATAAATAAGGTAGCCTGGGTAAACCACATAGAGCCTGAATAATTTGTTTCTTCCTTTTTGGTAGGAAGTAGGGCAGGTGAGCACTTTGGGACTCCCCTTTTGGCAAGTTCCTGCTGGGGATTAACCATTAATCCTTCGCCTCCATCAGTCCAAAGATCAGCAATGGAAACAAGGCTGCGGTCACCACAATCTCACCGGTAATCAGGTGCGGCAATACTGATTTGCATGCAGGCCATGATCTCAGTCAGTCCCCACGAGGGAACTCCAGGTGGGTATCTGGATGAAGCTAGGGCTTGAGGCCCATGCCAGTGGCAGTCTACTGCATGCCTAAGACAGCAGAAGAGACCGGCAGTGGTCTGTTGGGAAGGCAGAATACTGGGAGAGATGGTGGAGAGCCTGGGGCTCCAGAGCTGTAAGGGAAGGATGGACGCAAAGATGTAGACCAGAGGCACCCCCAACACAGCTTTATTAGCATAGCACCCCAAGCCAACAACAATTTTTCTGACTAGATGTGAAAGGCCCAAGGGTGAGGGGAACAATGGTACAGGGCCTGAAGGCAGGTCTTGGGGCACAAAGCCCCTGAGTTACTCATCACCCCACACATAGTTCAGATGACAGCCTGTGCTCTGGAGAGCATCCTGGAGGCTCCCGCCCTGCTTTAGCCAGTGCTCCTGGCAGAGCATTGAGAGTTCCCATGGCCATCTGGAGACACGGGCAAGGGTCGGCCCATTGGATCCACACACCAGCAGGGACCACGGCGACTCCCCTGAGAGGAACGACACTGGAGAGAGAGGCACAGAGCAGGGTGAGGTCTGAGGCTTCCAGCAGGAGAAACAAATTACGAGTTCTTAGTCCCTTCACCGGCTGAACAGGGCCCACCCTGCTAGGCCGGAACAATAGTCCCAAATCAACAGCACCTGCATCCCTTTTGTGTTAGAAATGGGTGTTCTCAGCCTACCCCAGAAGGCCGAGTTAGAAGATGCAGATTGGGCTCCACCAGCTCACATGCCTCCAGAGGATTCCCAGGGCCCTCCTCTGACAGCCTCTGCCTAAAGGTGACTTCTAAGTCCTCTATTGAAGTGGTTGGCTTTTTCCCCCGCTTTCAAATCATACTTCTTTTTGTTTTACTGTTTGTTGTGAGGCAGAGGCTCACTGTTTGTAGGCCAGGCAGGCCTTGAACTTACAATCTCCCTGACTCTTTTCATGTCTCTATGGGTCTTAAAGTTGGAAGATCCTGAGAGGCAGGGGAAGTAGTGTGTGTGTGTATGTGTGTGTCCTGGTTTGTTTGTTTCTGAGACAGGGACAAGCTCCTATCTACCTAGCATGCCCCAGCACATCCAATATCCTTTGTGTGTGTGTGTGTGTGTGTGTGTGTGTGTGTGTGTGTGTGTGTGTGTGTGTGTGTGTGTGTGTGTGTGTGTTTTCAGCTTGGTAAATTCTCTTTCTCCCTTCCCGGCCTCTTCTCACCTGCTGCTTTCTGTAGAAGCCTCTGAGGTCACAATTCGGCACATAGATCCCCTGTGCCCCACCTCGGAAGACTTCAGTCTGGAGCTGCCGCAGTACTGAATCCAAGTGTCTGCGACAAGGGCCCTGGAAAGGAACAGGGGTGGGTGGCGGTGGTGCTCAGAATTCCAGGAGCCTGCCTGATCCAGACTTCCCCAGGGAGAATCTCCAGTCCTCTGAACCCCACCAGCCCTGCACGAACCATCTCAGTGTCTTGAACACCCCCTGGATTGGGCCTTATAGGGGTGGTGGAGGTCCCTGGATTCTTCTGCCGGTCTCTGTGGCTTGCATCGCGTTGGCGGGAGGCACCTCCGTGAGGTTTACTTTCCTTTGTAGTCTCTTCTGTGGTCACAAGAAGAATGGGAGAAGAAATAAAAAATCAGTCAAGGCCAAAGGCTAGTTCCACATGAGCCCTGGTGCATCTCTACTGGTTAAAATGAGAGCAACTGACAACTTTAGGAAATAAAAGTACACAGTTTTTCTCCCGGCCTTATCCTGGCTGCTGTTTCTTCCTCTGACAGATAATTATATTGTTGGGTATGGTGGTGTGTGCCTATAATCCCAGCACTTGGGAGGCTAGGTAAGAGGACTGCCACAAGCTCGAGACTAGTCTGGTCTACTCAGCAGGGGCTGGAGAGACTGTTCAGCAGTTAAGAGCACTGGCTACTCTTCCAGAGGACCAGAGTTCAATTCCCAGCATCCTCATGGTGTCTCACGGCAGCTGTCTGTGACGAGCTGCAGAGGATCCAAGCCCCCTTTGGGCACCCATGTGGGACAGACATACGTGCAGGCAGAACACCCACACATGTGAAATAAAAACAAAATCCTGCAAAACACAGTTAGGTTACTGCTCCTGATAATATTTCCCAAAGCAACCGCCTCCCCCCTACCCTCCCCCCACAGGGTTTTTCTGTGTGGCCTTAGCTGTCCTGGATCTAGCTCTGTAGACCAGGCTGGCTTCAAACTCACAGAGCTCCACCAGCTTCTGCTTCCCGAGTGCTGGGATTAAAGGTGTGCGCCACCACCTCCCGGCCTCCCAGAACAATTTCAAGTCTTTTTTTTTTTTTTTTTTTTTTTGGTTTTTCGAGACAGGGTTTCTCTGTGTAGCTTTGCGCCTTTCCTGGAACTCACTTGGTAGCCCAGGCTGGCCTCGAACTCACAGAGATCCGCCTGGCTCTGCCTCCCGAGTGCTGGGATTAAAGGCGTGCGCCACCACCGCCCGGCCAATTTCAAGTCTTATAAGGGAGAACATCTTGGAAAGCAAAAACTCGGAGTGAACATGGAGCATTATTTCCAGCCTTTAGGCTTCCTGTGAAAAGACTTGCCTATTCCACTAGGGGCCAGAAGAGGGCACACCAAGCCAGGGAGATGGAGAGAAAAACAGTGCGTGTGGGGTGGGGGGAGTCAATAGGGACCCAGTGGAATGTGTGACCCTGTTGTGACCCCTCCAATGAGTCAGTCCGCCCCTCCCAGGCCTGAGATGTTACTTTGAGGGCCTTGCATAGGGACCTCTTCCTTTTTGTCCCTGTTCAACTCTAGTGGTCCAGGAGCCTCTGGATTCAACCTTTAACCAGGATGCCTTGAAGGCTGCAAAGGAGCAGGGAATAAGAGGCTTCCAACCTGCAGGTTGCACCTGGTTCTGGAGAGTTTCTGGGTGCTCTGGGGAGAGCTCAGGACTGGGAGGGGAGACAGAAGTAAGCCAGGGCTAGGACGAAGCTAGGGAAAGTACAGCAACGTGTCAAAAGATAAACTTTCATACTTTTTTAAAACTCCACTTCCTCTGCAGTCTTCTTAACCCTTATTCCCTGGGTACCACGTGTTCCTCAGACCTTGTACCTTTACTCCCTGCATTTAGTGCCAAACTGCGATGATGCTTCAAACTGCCTTTTCCAACCAAAGCACACCTTCTAAGAGGAGCCTTAGAAGCTTGGGCTCTGACACCAAGGAATGGGACTCCAACCCCCTCCCACCCCTCACCCCGTGTGTGTGTGTGTGTGTGTGTGTGTGTGTGTGTGTGTGTGTGTGTGTGTGTGGTGTGCGCGCGCGCCCACTATTGAGACAGCGTCTCATGTAGTTTGGGCTGGCCTGATATTATGTAGCCAAGGATGATGCTGAACAGACGACCTTCCTGCCTCCACCTCCTAAGTGCTGGAATTACAGGCATGCAGCACCATGCCCAGGGATCCAAATTCATTTCTCGTCGATTTCTATGGAAAAACCAAGGGCTCTTACTACCTTCCAGCGTCCAGTCGCCTCCTCACCCCCAGCTTTTGGGTGCTGACTCACTCTGGTCCCACCCACCCAATGACTCAGTCTCCTGTGCTCATCCCCGGGGGTAGTAGGGTGGGGCAGGGAGGGCTCGCAGTTCTGACCAGGTTTAAATAATAAGCCTGATTTGGCAGATTCCTTCTTTGCCCACCTGGCTCTCCCCGGGCCCTCCAGGGCCTGCCCACCGTCCCTGGCCTAGCCTGTTACTACTTAGTATCTTTTCTTCTAGACTTCGGGGATCAGGTGCTTCCAACACCGGCACCGAAAGAGGAGCAGGAGACATTTCTCAGTGTGGGGAGCTCGAGTCTGAGGTTCCCTTTCCTCCTCCTCCATACGGAACCCACGTCCTGTCTCCATCACGGGCCATTGGAGTGATGGAGATGAGCCTGCCGGTTTACAAGGGATAGCTAAAACGAAAACTCTCCATCCTCTTCCTACGTATGCCCCTTTCCCCCAGGAGAAAATAAATGGGGAAGGGAGAATAGAGAGTCCGGACATCTCCCTTCGGTAGTCTCAAGTGCCCCTAGCCACGCGCAGCCTCATAATTTTTTCCCTAATCTTTCCGCTTCACGTTCCACTCAAGGCCTGGGAGGAACCAATAGGCTGGTCCCCTAAAGCTCAAAGAGGCTGCCCATCTGCGTCGATCCAGGTTCTTACCAGGAAAGACTGACTTCTCCTATCTGAGGTGGGCAGGTGGAAGGCGGGGTGGACATGAACTCACCCGACGGCCCCCTGGGGCGGTGACAGCGACCCTGGCCCATCAGCAGCGCCCGCAAAGGGGTCTCTTCGTTCTCTCGCGGTTGGCACTGCAGTCCTGGGGCACACTTCGGGATGTAGACCCCACACAGCTGCCCCTCTCTCCTGAGACAGCCCCCGGCTTCTGCACAGCCCTCTGCAGGGGACCCCGCGTCTTCCTCCTCCACGCAGCCCCCGCGACAGCTGCTGGCCTGCACCCCGCGCGTGGAGGCGGACCCTGAGCCCGCAGCCAGCAACAGAGTTAGCAGCAGCAGCAGCAGCGGCTGAGGGGGCAGCCTGTCCCGGGTCATGGTCAGAGGTTTTTGCCCAGTGCACTCCTTCCAGAGAGCGTAGCGCAGCGAGCCGCTGCTCCTCTGCTTTGTGAAGCAGCGGGCCGCGTCTGCCCTTAAAAGCCAGGTGAAAGGGGAGGGAAAGAAGGCAGGGGCATACCCTAAACTGGAGGGGCTGGAGGGCCACCCACCTGGATCCACCCGGCTTTCTGCTCCCTCCTCCTTCTCAGCTGCTGTTTACTTCCAAAATTGTTCTGATTTTTTTCTTCTTCTTCTTCTTCTTCTTGCTTTGTTCCTGGGAATCTCGCCCGGAATTTGGGAGCTGTACATCTGGCTACAGGGACTGTGGGATAGGGAGGAGTGAAGGGGAGGACAGCAAACCCTGAAATCCACTTAGCATTCGTGTACTGTACAGGAAGACAAAGGACCAGTAGGTACTCCTGCAGATGAGAAGATGGGGGGCTGGGGGACCTAAATGTGAACCGAGAAGAGATCGTGATGGGGGTGTGTGTGTGTGTCGGTAAACGCTAGGAGAGACATAATTGGCATCTGGGCAGAAGTTCCTACCACGGGCAAGAAGTAGACCCAAGAGAGGAGAGAGAGGGTAAAATGGGGAAGGGGCAAAATAAAGTCTCCAGGCCTGTGTCTATGAAAAAGAAAAAAAAAAACAATAAAACCAGAGAATCTGGTCTGTGGAGATGATACAAAAGGTTGCCAGAGCAGCAGTGAGATGATGAATCACCTTGAGTAAATTGTAGCAAACCTAGCACTGCCTGAGAGCCGCTGAGGGCAAAGTTCAGGGAAAGGGGGTCCTGAACGCCTGCAGGCAAAAGTAGGGGATTATATTCTAGATGCTTTTAGGGACAGCCATCTGGCCGCAGACCAGGCGTCCTCCTCCTCTCTGCCCTTCAATCTAACTCGTCCCTCCATGACTCTCTCTTCCTCAAGCTTTCTCCTGTCTCTGGTCATTCCTTGGCTCTTCTGGATTTCTCAGACTGTTTTGTGTCCACAGGGTTTTGGGAAGGGACTGGCCTGAGAATTTCAGTCCCTCTACGCTCATTTGCCTGGCCATCTCCAGTGGGTCCATCCAAAGGCCGCGCCTGCTCATCCCAAGGCATAGTTCCACCCTGGGCAGGGGTGAGTGAAGTCTCAGGGAAGAAGTGGGACCGCTGCATTGGTCCACCCCGCCAGCACAATCCTGAGTTATGCAACAGCAATCTCATTCTTTCCTAAAACAAGGGCTCCGGACAGTGACTAAGTTTAAATTCTGGGCCCCCAAGCAAGAATGTCAGCAAGGGCTTCCTGAGCTTTTAAGCAAATACAAAATAAAAAGAACCGCCTGTGGCTCCTCTGAGATTTTAGGACTAGCCGCGTTTGGAAAGTGATGATTTCCCGTTGCCAGGAGTTACGGATAGAACAGGCAGGAAAAAGTGACCACTATCTTCCACCAAGGCCCTGGAGCGCCTCCTCTGTGTTCTGACCCCAGAGCGTGGTTCCTGTCCAAACCTTTATCCCTATTATTTATTAACTTTTTTCCACTGCAAATGCTTCTGGCCAGGGCCTTTCTTATGGACTCGTGTTTGCTGCTTCTGAATATGACGGAAGAGCCTATGGGAAGTTGGGAAGGAGGAAGATGACTCCCTGCTGGGGTCTCCTCAGTGGGTCTTTTGAAGACGTTGTACCCCACCTTTGTAGAGAAACCTGAGCATTCTGCTAATGTCTAACACCACTCCATCCTGGCTTTCCCCTCCCTGTGGTTCTCTGTTCCTGGGGCTCTCTTGGTCCCTCTCTGCAGGACTACACAATGCAGGAATGCATTTATCCCGGCAGGAAAGTCCCCTTTCCTCATCCTTCCAGAGAGTCATGTTCATTCCTGCCTGGGCACAAGTCTCCTTGCAGACAGAGGTCCTTGAATTCTGCTTTTCCTCCTTTTAGGATGCCATCTGCCTTAGCACCCAGAAAAGAGACGTGGAGCACATGATGTGGGAGTCTGCATGAGAACCTTTGCTGAGAAGCTGGTGCCAGGGCTCACACAGATTAGCCTTGGCCTATGATATAGGTTTGTCCATAAACTTGGTAGGGACTCCTGTCACACACCACACACTTCTAATCACTGAAGCGCAAAGTTCCAACATCCCGTGCATCCTCAGGCACGGACTTCCTTTTGATAACAGGAGGCAGAAGGAGAGGACTGCCTGGGCTATTTTCAGCTTTAAGTTTGACAAGAAGGCTGCATACCTGAGCTCGGAAGACTCAGAGAGGAAGTGCATGGAGAGAACATAGGTCTGGCTGGAGTACTGTGATAACCATGGCTGACGTCCAGCCTGTTTCCTGCCATCTGGCCTCCACAACCCTCAACCTGCTCTGCTGAAGTGCTGTCTTGGTTAAGTAACGGTCTCCCCCTCAAAAGCCTTGAGGGGTACTCTATACAGATCCCCTCACCACAGAGCCCAGCTCTCATTTTGGCATTCTTAAGCCTGAGGGTGGAGCTCTGTAATTACACACCAATTCGGCCAGCTCTCTGGGTCACCTTCTCCAGCACCCTTTGACAGTTTCTCATCTTAGTTCTTGAATTGAGACAAGAGGAAGTGAAGGTGTGGTGTAATTGGTTTTTCAGAGGTAATTTCTTTCCCAAGTCTCCAAGCTTTAGGCTCAGGAGAATTAAACCCTTTCTGGGTTCTGCCACCTCTTGCCCATCTGTGTGGCCATTTTATATCCTTATACCTTTTTTTTTTTTGCTTTGTGTTTTGAGACAGGGTTTCTCTGTGTAGTCTTGGCTGTCCTGGAACTCGCTCTGTAGACCAGGCTGGCCTCAAACTCAGAGATCCACCTGGTTCTGCCTCCCGAGTGCTGGGATTAAAGGCGTGCGCCACCACCGCCCGGCTAGAACAGGGCTTTTTAATGAAGTCAGGAGAAAAGATGGGCAGGGCTTGTAACAGGTCTTTTTTTTTATATATCACTAGTTCTCGAATAATGACAGGAGAGTTTTTATTAATTATGAAATCTTGGCCTTAGCTTAGGCTTATTCCCAACTAGCTCTTAAAACTTAAATTAACTCTTACACATTCATCTACGTTCTGCCGCCTGGCTCATTACCTCTCCTCAGCGCCTTACGTCTGAATTCCTCCACATCTGGCTGGCAAATCTCATGTTTGAGATTCTTTTCCAGAGTTCCTATCTCTCCCTGAAAGTCCTGCCTATGCTCTGCTGCCTAGTTATTGGCCATTCAGCTCTTGGCAGGTGAGGTTAAACAGAGACACATCTTCACACAGTGTATAAAAAGATTGTTCCAACAAGGGCTGGAAGGGCTGGAAGGGAACATAGGCAGAGAGTCCAAGGAAGACACAAAGGTAGAGGATGGGGAAACGGGGAAGTGCATATGTATATACATGTGTGTGCTTAACATGTTCTAGGTTCCCAGGGCCTCGGGAACATCAGAGAGAGGGGAGCTGAGAACGGAGCAGAGTCAAGCAGTTTGGAGTTGGGAATGATTAGTGAACAAAAAGTAGCTTGTGGGGATCTGGAACTTTCTTTTTGTGTAGTTAAATGAATAAAAGCAGATGCAATTATTTTTAATTGTAATTATTAAAATACATCTATAGAACATCTGTTTATGTGACTGTAACTGGGAGATGTGGACACAATAGGTTTGTGCCCCCAAGAATGTTAGTGTTGACATTTGTGTGGTGATATTATGTTCCCCAAAATATTGTGCACCCTAATAAACTTATCTGGGGTCAGTGAACAGAACAGCCACTAGATGGACATAGAGGCCAGAAAATGGTGGCACACACACCTTTAATCCTATCACTTGGGAGGCAGAGATCCATCCGGATCTCTGTGAGTTCAAGGCCATACTGGAAACAGCCAGGCATGGTGATTCATACCTTTAATCCCAGGAAGTGATGACAGGGAGCAGAAAGGTATATAAAGCGTGAAAACCAGGAACTAGGGCCAGTTAAGCTTTTAGGCTTTTGAGCTGAGACCCATTCGGATGAGGACAGAGGCTTCCTGTCTGAGGAATCAGGATCACCTGAGGAACTGTCGAGGTGAGGTGGCTGTGGCTTGTTCTGCTTCTCTGATCTTCCAGTGTTCTCCCCAATAACTGGCCTCAGGTTTGTTTTTATTAATAAGAACTTTTAAGATTCATGCTACACATTTGTCCATCCATTGCATACTTAAAAAACAAATGTTGACTTGATTAATATGCTCTACATATTAATGGAGTACCAGGTGAGATTTATTATATGCACACACTGTGCTATTTGGCTAAAGATATCTCTTCAAACATTTATCACTTCATTAGGACACAGATATTTGAAATCATTTCTTTTATCTTGTGGAGATGTAGTATACAAGCTATACTCATCCACACAGGATAAACAGCTTAAAAACTCAGCTAGTGGCACTGGGGATGTACCTCAGTGAAAAATAACTCACCTAACATGTATGAGGCCCTGTGCTTGAGCCCCAGGACTGAAAAATCATCTGTCTGGGATGCCAGAATATTCTGGGATAGAATGTAAAAAGTGACAAATTAATCTAGCCGTATCATACATTTATGACATAAACACACTGCAGGAGTAAGAATTGTTCTTACTGGAAACTGTCAGGCAGGAATGCTTTTTGTGTTTGTTTTGATTTTGTTTTTGGAGACAAGATTTCTCTGTGTAGCCCTGGCTGTCCTGGAACTCACTTTGCAGACCAGGCTGGACTCAAAGTCACAGAGATCTGCCTACCTCTGCTTCTCTGCTTCCCAAGTGCTGGGATTAAAGGTGTGCGCCACTATCCCTGGTTTCTGGGTTAAATGTATTTAACTTTGTGTGTGTGTGTGTGCCTGCATATGTGTGAGACCATGCACGTGCCTGGTACCCTTGGAAGCCAGAGGAGGGCATCAGATCCCCTGAGCCTGGAGTTACAGATGGTTGTGAACTGCCATGTGGGTGCTGAGAATTCAGTCTGGGTCCTCTAGAAGAGAAGTCAGTGCTCTTAATCATTGGCTTAGTCCTGGGTTAAAGTCTTGGGTTAACTTTTTTTTTTTTTTTTTTTTTTGGTTTTTCGAGACAGGGTTTCTCTGTGTAGCTTTGCGCCTTTCCTGGAACTTACTCTGTAGCCCAGGCTGGCCTTGAACTCACAGAGATCCACCTGGCTGTGCCTCCCAAGTGCTGGGATTAAAGGCGTGTGC